CATTTCTTTGAGAGAAAGAAACATCAATAGGTCACCTCTACTACATGCCTTGACTGGGGACAAAGCCTGCAACCCAGAAATGTGCCCTGACTGGGAATTGAACTGAAGACCTTTCACTTTGGGGGGTGATGCCCAACCAACTGAACTATATAGGTTAGGCCAGTAGTGGTTCATTTTAAATATGGGCTGATCCTTTGGAAAATAGGTGTTCTTCAGGAATAATAATATAAGGCATTTTATTATTCCTGCATATCTCTTCATTAGAAATCATATTCCTGAGCCAAAAAGATAGTATTAGGAAATATATTTAAAAAATTCATAGAGCCTAGCTGGTGTGGCTCAGTGGATTGAACGTCGGTGTGTGAACTGAAAGGCCCCGGTTCTATTCCCAGTCAGGGCACATACCTGGGTTTCTGGCCAGGTCCCCAGTTGGGGGTGTGCAGGTGGCAGCCAGTCAGTGTTCCTCTCACACATGTGTTTCTCTCCCTCTTTTTCTTCCTTCCTCCCCTCTTTCTAAAAATAAATGAATAAAATCTAAAAATAAAAAGTTCATAGAAAATTCAAATTAATGGGTATAAAGTTTGGGAGCCAAATGAAGGTGAGTTACTTTGATCTCATACTTTGAACTAAGATGAGGAACAGGAAAGTTGCAGAGAAAGTTTATAACCTTAATCTTTAAAAATATTCTGTATACCTAGAAACAAGGAGAGTGTACAGCATGAAGGAAAAAATATTTTTAAAGATTTTATTTATTTTTAGAGAGAGGAAAAGGGGGAGAAATATCAGTGTGTGGTTGCCTCTCATACACTCCCTACTGGGGACCTGGACCCACAACCCAAGCATGTGCCCTGACCAGGCATCAAACTGGCAACCCTTTGGCTCATAGGCCTGTGCTCAATCCACTAAACTACACCTGCCAGGGTGGGAAATTTGTAAATTGAGAACCATTCAGTATAATCCATAATTTGCTCCAAAATAAGTTTTATTTTATTTTATTATTTTATTTTATTTTATTTTATTTTATTTTATTTTATTTTATTTTATTTTATTTTATTTTATTTTATTTTATTTTATTTTATTTTATTTTATTTTAATTTCAGAGAAAGAATATATAATCTTTTTAGAAATTGAGGATTCTTGCCTTGGCTGGTGTGGCTTAGTGGATTGAGTACCGAGCTGTGAACCAGAAGGTCATCAGTTTGATTCCCAGTCAGGGCACATGCCTGGGTTGCAGGCCAGGTTCCCCAGTTGAGGGTGTGTGAGAGGCAACCTATCAATGTATCTCTCACACATTGATATTTCTCTCCCTCCCCCTCTTTCTAAAGAGTAAATAACATGTTTGTTTTTTTTTTTAAGATTTTATTTATTTTTATAGAGGGAAGGGAGAGAGGGAGGGGGGAGAGAGAGAGAGAGAGAGAGAGAGAGAGAGAGACATCAATGTGCGGTTGCTGGGGGTCATGGCCTGCAACCCAGGCATGTACCCTGACTGGGAATCGAACCTGCGACATTTTGGTTCGCAGCCTGCGCTCAATCCACTGAGCTACGCCAGCCAGGGCTTGTAAATAACATGTTTTTTAAAAAATGGAGGATTCTCTACCTTAATTGCCCCTCTTTTCTAAATTTAATTATGTATACTTTATTTCTCTTGCTCTTTCTACAGAGAAGTTTTTTAATAAATAGAACAGTTCCTTGATTTTTCATTTTATAGCCCCTAATCTTAATTCTAGTAATGTTTTTTTTCTTTTAGAGTAAAAAGATAATATATAAATGTAAAGCTAATTGATAAAGCCAACTGTTAAACAAAAAACAGTGCTGATATATAGAGGTATTTTTTCTGCCCAAGTGATCTGTCTAGGTCAGTGCCTTTATTAAAATTTAAGATTCAGCTTCACTTTTTATCTTGATGCTGAGACATCAAATTTGTATTTATTCAGTCTATGTTTTCATTATTTCGATTATCCTACAGATGGTTACTACTTTTAATAGGTATTTTATTTTAATCCAAATTTATAGCCAAGAACTGGTCATTTATTTTTCAAAAAGGAGGTAAATACAGAATTTAAAAGGTATAGCCCAGGCTGGCTTGGCTCAGTGGATGAAGTGCCAGTCTACAGACCACATGGCCCCTGGTTCAATTCCTAGTCAGGGTACATGCCTGGGTTGTGGCCTGGGTCCCCAGTTAGGGGTGTGTGAGAGGTAACCACATATTGATCTTCCTCTCCCTCTGTTTTTCTCTTCCTTCCCCTCTCTAAAAATAAAATGAATAAAATTGTTAAAAGAATTTTAAAAATTTGCCCTGGCTGGTGTAGTCAGTGGACTGAGCGTGGGCTGCAAACCAAATGGTTGCTGGTTCAATTCCCAGTGAGGGCACATGCCTGGGTTGCGGGCCAGGTCCCCAGTGGGGGGTGTTAAGAGGCATCCACACAATGATGCTTCTCTTCCTCTCTTTCTCCCTCCCTTCTCCTGTCTCTAAAAATAAATAAATAAATTCTTTTTTAAAATATAAAAAAATTAAAAAGTATAAAAGAATATATACAGTTCCCATTTTCACCCCCAAAGCAAGCTTTCCATCTTGAAGACAAGTACTGTTAACTAGTTTCTTGCATATTCCTCAGAGATCTTTTATGCATACAAAGATGAATGGATATATGCTTTTTTAAAATAAACAACTTTGAAATACATAATATACAATAAAATTCAACAGTTGTAAGTATCAGTTTGAGTTTTGATAAATACATACACAGTTGTACAATCTCTACCAAAGTCATGATATAGAACATTTCTATCACCCCTCACATTTTTATTATGTTCTTTTGTAGTCAGTCCCATCCCTCCAATTCCCTCCCTCTCCTGGAGCTTCCTGTTGATGCTTTCTGTCAATATAAATTTGCCTTTCCAGATTGTCATTATCAATAAAATCATACAGAACATCTTTCTTCCCCGTCCAGAGCATAGTCTTTATGTCTGATTTCTGTTACTTGGTATTATGCTTGTGAGATGAATCCATATCCATGCCTTGAACCAAGGAAGTGTTGAATGAGTGTGTTAAATGTCTATTAGCCTAAGTTTGGGTTAGATTTTTAAAATTAATTATATCATACTCATGAAAGGGACTCATGGATCTTATATTCAGCTTAAGTAAATTTAGCTCTCATTGTTAAACCTTGATGTCATTCAGCATGGAAAAAGGTGACTTAATTTGAATGATGCCTTTAAAAAAAAAAAAGGTTTTATTTATGTATTTTTAGGGAGAGGAAGGAAGGGGAAGAAGAGGGAGAGAAACATCAGTGTGTGAGAGAAACATTGATCACACGCCCCCAAGTGGGGACTGGCCTGCAACCCAGGCATGTGCCCTGACCATGAATTTGAACCAGTGACCTCTTGTTTCGCAGGCCAGCACTCAACCACTGAGCCACACCAGCCAAGGCACCATTTAACTTGAAAGAAGCAAGATGTTACTGATAAATCACAAGTAAAATTTCATTTAATGAACATGTCAAGACTTCAGCACAGCTTGTTTAATTCAGATTATATTTCAATAGCAATCTATTGCTATATTAGTCAAAAGAAATAGATAACTCCCCTGGCTGATGTGGCTCAGTTGATTGAGTGCCGGCCTGTGAACCAAAGAGTCGCCAGTTCGATTCCCAGTCAGGGCACATGCCTGGGTTGCAGGGCAGGTCCCCATTAGGGGGCATGCAAGAGGCAACCACACATTGATGTTTCTCTCCCTCTCTTTCTCCCTCCCTTCCCCTCTGTCTAAAATAAATAAAATCTTAAAAAAAAAAAAAAAGAAATAGATGACCGTTTTAAACCAAGCAAGCATGATTAGTTACACTGAACTGTATTAAAACATTTGGGAATGGGCATTGTATATAGGTAATTTTTTTCTTGAGATGAGCAGGGAATCTCTGTTGTAGAGAGGTACAAAATCCAAAAATTGAAATAGTAGAGAAAGTAAATATGTTAAATCTTTATCTCAGTTTCAGCACTTTAAAAAGGCAAACTTTATTTCTGTACTTTTATATTTTGTCCTCCAAGCTTACAGATAGGATAAAACAGAATAATTTAATGTACCAAAATGACTAGTTGAATAAGTTAACTCAGAGGAAAAGACTTACAGAGTTAACTATGGTACTGCAAATTAAAAAGTATATTTTTGGAATATTAAAACCCTATCTTTATCAACTCAATAAGATTCTGAGTAGTTTTTTTGTACTTTAAAAATATTAGGTTTTACTGTTTTTGGTTGTAAAATAAAATCTAAAACTAGTCCTTCCCCAGAGCTTGATTTTTATCTCAAATGCCAAGTTAAGGGGAGAGGGAATATAATATGATTTCCTGCCTTGGATTTTTCAGACTTCCCTACTCAGGAGCAAATCTCAAGCTTGTGGGCTCTTATGTTAAAATAGCTAAGAAGCTGGCATCTGGTTGTGGAGCATTAGTACAGGTAGAACCACTTCTGATTATAAAACTTTATGATGGGTTTTATTACTTCAGCCAGCCTTTTAATTTTTTTTAGTTTTTTAGTTTTTTAGTTTTTTTCTACTACCTTTGGAACCTGGTAGTAGATATCATCTGAAAACGTGTCAACATTTTGTTAGATGAATCTGTATAATTTGGAATATCTATGACTTCAAGAGGTTGTCTTGAGTGTAACCTAATTGTTTTGAGGTGCAAAAATTGGCTGTGAATCTTTTTTAAAAAAACTAATAAATGCAGTTTTTACTTTAAAACCGTTTTTGTGGTGCTTTAGTACATAATTCTATTTCCCTTCCTTATATTTACCTATTAAACTATAAGTAAAAATGGTCCACTATTTAAAACATACATTTGTGTTCAAGAATCTAAAATACTTAAACCTATCCTTCTCTGAGTCTGAAGGAGTGCTTTTAAAAAAGCTATACTAATGAGACAGAGGATATTGGTAACAGTGAAAAACTGTATTAATGGATAAACAGATTTATGTTGAATACCTTTCTTCTTTCTCCTCTCTTAAGGAATTGAATGACCTGGCACGGGACCCCCCTGCACAGTGTTCAGCAGGTCCTGTTGGAGATGATAGTAAGTATTTAAAAGGAGTAATGGAGTTAAACAGCATAACAATCTGCCTCTGGGGAACTATGGAAATGATGAATAAATACTTCTAAGATTATTTTGCTGTAGGACAGAGGCAGTGTTTACCCTTACTTGCTCATGAAAGGTGCAGTTCTATGTGTATCCCATCATCTTCTTTCTTGCTCATTATATTTTGAACCTCTTTTGTCAGATATTATCTGTGCAATTATTCTGGCCCCTTTCTACCTATCCTTCACCCAGTCTGGGTACTTTGGGGTAGAATATTTGAGCTTTTACTTACAACTAGGTATCGTTAAGTAAGGTAATAGTAAGGACAATGATGCATGTGTGTGTGCCTGTCTACTGGCCCATAACTTGTGATGAAGACAGGTACGATTTGCTTATTTTTAAAGTCCAATTTATCTGTTTAATCTTGTCTAATTTATTAAATCCTGACACATGTTGGATGATTTCCTTTTGTTCTTCTTTGTTTCAGTATAACTTTTAACCCCTTACACCATTTTTCTAGCTTCTTTAAAAGGAAGATGTTTTAATAAGATTGATTTTTTTTATACAAAACTAATTTTAAAAAGTAACATTTAGCAAATAGAAAAAAATGAGCATACTTGGAAACATTTGTGTAAAAGAGGTATATAGATTAAGACAAGTAAACATGAGGTCACATTAGCTTGTATTTAAAATTATATTTTCCTGATATTTCTTATTAATAGTGTTTTCTGTTAAATGCTTAGGAATCAAAGCAAGGGCCTATTATAAAGATTGGTTTATAGATAAAACAGATTTTATAAATTATAAGACTTAAGTACATGTGATAAAAGATTCCATTTACATTATTACATTCAGACTGGTCCAGTATGAGTAACTATAGTATTTGATGCCAAATAGGACAGGCCAAGTACTTAAACAGCATTGTCTCATTAAAGCTTCACAATAACAATTATTTTGTGTGAGTGGAGTAGAAGTTGTAAACTGTTTCAGAGGAAAATACAATGAGAAACTTATGGAAGTTCCCAAAGTGGATTCATATTCAAGTTTTCTGATTCTAGTTTTGTCATTCCACAGTATTATATAGTCAACCTGTATTCGTATATGCTTTGAATTGAAAAAGTGGTTTTATTTCAAGCAAATTTCTTTCTAGAGAGTAGCTGGTCTTAAGTGTTTGAAGTCTGAGGATTAGATTTCATTTTTGAAGTTCTCTTCAGTGTGCTAAAGTCATTTGCCTTTGTTTCTATAATTGATACTATCACATTTCTCAGATAGAAAAGTTGTTACCCTGGAGAGTTAAATAAAACTCCCCCAAAGTATAAGCAATAAAATAAAAATAGATAAATTAGAATTCATCAGAATTTAAAATCCGGGCCCTGGCTGGTGTAGCTCAGTGGATTGAGCGCGGGCTGGGAACCAAAGTGTCCCAGGTTCGATTCCCAGGCAGGGTACATGCCTAGGTTGCAAGCCATAACCCCCAGCAACCACACATTGATGTTTTTTCTCTCTCTCTCTCTCTCTCTCTCTCTCTCTCTCTCTCTCTCTCTCTCTCTCTCTCCCTTCCCTCTCTAAAAATAAATAAATAAAATCTTAAAAAAAAAGTTTAAAAAAAAAAGAATTTAAAATCCAGGTGCTGCAAATGATACCTTTAAGCAAAAAGACATGTAAAATGAGAGAAAAATTGCAGGTTATAATTTCTGATAAGGAATATTTATCCAAAATATATTTATAAAAATGACAAATGAACAATATAAACAGCCCCATTTTAAAATGGGCAAAGGATGAATAGATATTTCTCCAAAGAAGATAAACAAATGACCAATAAGCACATGGGACAATGCTCAACATCATTAGTCAGTAGGGAAATGCAAGTCAAAATCATACAGAGATTCCATTTTGCACCCACTACGATGGCTAGAATCAAAATGTCAAATAATACCAAGTATTGATGAACATGTGGAGAAATTGGAACCCTCATATTTCCTGATAAGAACACAAAATAGTACAACCAGTTTGGAAAACAGTCTGGCAGGTCTTCAAAAGTTAAACATATAACCCAGTGAGTTTACTTCTAAGGCTTATATCTAAGTGAAATGAAAGAAGGATATGTCCACACAAAAACTTTTGCATGAATGTTCATAGAAGCATTATTTATAATAGCCAAAAAGTGTAAATAACCCAAATACCCAACAACTGGTGGAGGGATAAATAAAATGTGGTATATATACACACTGGAATATTACTTGACAATAAAAAGAATGAAGTACTGATATATACTGCAACATGGGTAAGCCTTAAAAACATGCTGAGAGGAGTCAGATACAAAAGGCCACATACTTGATTTCATTTATATGAAATATCCAGAATAGACAAATTCATAGAAACAGAACATAGATAATGGTTGTGCAGGACTGAAGATTCGGAGGGGAATGGGGAGTGACTACTAATGGATATAGAGTTTCTTTGGGGGATGATGAAAATGTTCTAAAATTAATTGTGGTCGTTATACAACTCTGAATGTACTAAACACCACTGAATTGCATGGTTTCAATGGATGAATCATATGGTGTGTAGTTTCTCTCTCAGGAAAGCTGTTCAAAAAATAATAACCTCTTCCTGAACTCCTAGCCTTCCTATTCAACTTTGGATGTCTTGAGTCACATACTACTAAACTGTCAACAGTGCCTGTCTTCTAAAAGAAAGTATGGAAAATCTCCTGGGGGACAAAATAACTTTCTTAACATTTGGTCATCTAGATCGTGTTTGCTGATGTTACAGTTAAGTTTTTTGTGGGTGTTTGAGACCATTTGAGGATGAATTACTGTCAAAAAGCCTTAAGTCTTCCTGATGAACCACATAAGGATAAAACAAAGTATAATTAGATAGCTAAATGTACTTTCATCATCTTTTGTCATAAGGAGGTAGAATTTAATCCTAGGAAGAGAGAAACTTGGCCAAAATGAAATTTTTTGAGCCAAACTCCTGTTGACTATCTTAGGTCTAAATTGCTCAGCACCATGTTACTAATATTTAGTGTAAGAATTAAGTAGTCTTGCCCTGGCTGGTATGGCTCGGTGGATTGAGCACGGGCCGCAATCCAGAGGGTTGCTGGTTTGATTTTCAGTCAGAGCATATGCCTAGGTTACGGACCAGGTCCCCAGTGGGGGACACATGAGAGGCAACCACACATTGATGTTTCTCTCCCTCTCTTCCTCCCTCCCTTCCTCTCTCTCTAGAAATAAACAAATAAAATCTAAAAAAAAAAAGAGTAAAATCATCTTTATTTTACATTTAAAATAATATATATTTAATAATACATTTCATAATAAAAGGCTTCATTTTTAAATATTCAGATTTTAAAGTACCATTACATTTCTTCCCTCTTTCTGCAAAGATCTGGTAAGCAGGAAAAATTGTATTTTCTGAAAAGAAGCTAAAGATTTATCCGTCATATAATCTACTTCATTTTCTCCTTTGAACACTGTGAATGTAACTCCACAGATCTGTACTTGAATTCAAATGTAAATCTCTTGAGATTTAGCCTCAGACTATAACAAATAATCTTACTATCCTTTTTGGCCTTGAGGCTTCATCCTTCAGGGTACTGAAGAGTAATCATTGAGATGTGAACTTCACATTTTAACTCTCATAAGAAAGAGTGTAGCTTTCAGATGTGTAATTAGATTTGACAACAGCAAACCAAGGTGGTAGTGGGAAGTTTTTTGTTTTTTGACTATCAAAACTTTAAATTCAGTACCATAAAATTTATTTTGAACAGCCCCTGAGATCCTTAAAGGAAAGGTGTTTGAAAGTTTTTATATGAAATATTGCAGTATTTTATGCTTATGTCCAAATATTTCACCCAGAAACTATTTCTGGAGTTCCTTCTACTTGGAACCTGTAATGATTCTTGAACTATTTACAAAATCATTGTAATTTGAGGCAGGTTAGATATTCTGTCACTCCCTTTTCCCTTTTTCATACTATACTTCCTCTTAGGAGAGCTAGGAGTCTAGGAGAGTTCTAGAGGCAGACCTAAGTCAATGATTCCAATAGATACACTTATTTTTAACCAGTGTGGCAGAATACTCAATTAAGATTTAAATGGTAGATCTTCAAATTCAGTTTGTCTTAATGTGTTTTTGGTTTGTTTTTCCCTGCCTTTTGTGGATTCTAGGTTATTTCAACAGGGACAAATATTATTGATCTCAGTCGTTACATTAGCAGGTTTTTGTTCATTCTTTTCCCACCTATTGTAGAGATGTAGCCCCTATGTATGTGTATTTTCTTTCTTTTTTCTGGAGACAGTAATTAAACCTTTGTTTACTAGGGTGAAGACAAATAGTTAATCATTAAATAAAGGTTAGCACTTGAATGTTAATAGGCTTTTATTTAGAGTTTCAAATGCCAACTGTTAATTTAGTTCTGTTGTAGAATGTTAAACAGATATGATTTATTAACTAAATACATATGAAATAGCATATTGATGTTGCTTATGAAAGTTCTCAATATAAGAATCTTAGATACACTAGAATGTCTTCAACTTCCTGGTGTGCCAAATATGAAAGAGATTGCAATGTTACTTGAAAATATTGATCATAAATGTTCTAGTTGTCAGTTTGTAAGACTTTCTGCTCCAAACCTCTTGGGGGTTCTGTGTTGTTGAAATTGTATGGGATTTTAATCATAGACCATAAAATATGCTTTGTTTTCTGCAAAGGAAGAATGGGAAATCGCCAAAAAATAGTATTTTACCTTTAGAAAAAATTTTGTTCTAATTTAAATTGTGCTAGTAACCTCTTAAATCTGGTAGTATTTTTAACAAGAAAAGGGTTGATCTTGGAAAGACTTAGAAAAAAAAAGTAGGGCTTCTAAATAGGTAATGGAAAATTTAACTTAATTTTTTAACATGTCTTGGTATTTGTATATTTTATTATCCAAGTGCTTTCTTATTCTTCCACTTTTTTGACCCTTGCAATCTTGAGCAAGAATGCAGGTATATTATAGCCTCTCATTTATAGCCACAAATTTAAGTAACATAAAAGGATTAAATGGAAGAACAAGACCCATTTTTATTTTTATTTATTGATTTTTTTAGAGACACTTACTTATGCACTCATTTGTTGATTTTTTGCATGTGCCCTTACCAGGTATCGAACATAGGATGATGCTCCACTTCACAGGTGGTAAACACAAGGCCCACAGGCCGAATCTGACCCTCCACCTTGTTTTATCCGGCCCAGCACCTTGTTTCTACCGGGCAGCAGCACCGAGCTCCTTGCCCCTAGTTAAGGAGTAGTTATATTTATATAGTCCTAAAATTACATCTGGCTATTTGAAGGCAACCACAGGCTGACATGGCCCCTGGTGAAAATGAGTTTGACACCCCTGCACTAATTGAGCTACCTGGCCAAGCATACAAGACATGTTTTAAAACAGGGTTCTTTGACCCTAAGTTTGGTCATCCTTTTGTCTAACATGGTTTTCAGCCTTATTTTGGGGGTCGTTTACTCCAGATAGCAGTATGCTTTGTTTACTCAAATTGTGTTTGTATTAAAAAACAGTGAGACTCTCTTGTTTCTTTCAACAGGACATTAGTGGTCTTTTATAGGATCTTTGCAGTCATCGTGGCTCAAAGTAACTTTCTCCTTAAGCTACTTACTCCATTAAAAAGTTGATTGGCAGAAATTGGGTACTCTAAGAAGGGGAGCCTCAACAATACCTATCCTTTATTTTTAATTCCTAATGAACAGGCTGCTGTTTGCTGGTTTGGACCTCAATGAGGAGCCAGACAGCCATGGGGACAGCTTCACATGCAATCCCTCTTTTGTCAGAAGGATTTGGACTGACGTTCCAGTGCATTTTCATATGGCTTCTTATTCTTCACATTTCCTCCTGACAAAAGTTAGCTGGTTTGGGTTTTTCACATATAATCTCATTGATAAGTTTTCTTAGTTTGCTAAGATCCTAGTATGAATATTAAGTGCTGAGTAGCTTGCTTGTAAGAAAACTCTGTCTTTTTGGTCTCTGTATTAGTACTTCGTTATACCACCTTTGAAATGGAATAAGCATCATTTTTTTGCAGTTTGAAGAGATTTCCTTATTAAACAACTTTATAATTTATTTGGATTATCCTTACAGCTTGTAATCAAGCTTTCAGCTTTCAGCTAATGTTTTCATAATTGAGGAACCAGTATTTTTAAAGATCCACACAGGAGAGAGCTCTTAGAAATTTTTTCTCATTGTAAAAACCATTCTTTCCTAATTTGAGTATTATCTCCTTGGACTTCACATTTCTGCTCTATGCCAGTATTATAAAAGGAGTAAATTGTGTTGGGGAAATGATATAACACATCAAAGAGGTGAATTTTTTGGTTCTTTTTTACTCTTTGAGGTGAGGAAATACCTGTTTAAAAGTGGAACTTTGACACTTGTCAAGAATTCTGTCTCCCTGTTGTGAATGTTCATGTTTTAGTCCAAATACTTTTTTACTGAACATCTTCTCAGTGTTCCAGCCCTTGCTAGTCCTTTTCTCTTCAGACTCAAACTTAATTTAGATTTCTCACCCTGCCCAGGATTCATCATATTGCTTATAAGTAAACTGGTATTGGATGGGGAATGATATGTTGTTATGATGTAGGTACAGTGTGAATATTGCTTCATGGTGATGTTTTTGTTCTTTTTCAGTGTTCCATTGGCAAGCTACAATAATGGGGCCAGTAAGTACTCAGATTAATTTCAAAATAAATAGTTTATATAATTCACTCATTTTAATCCCATTTTTCTTGTTATTAACAGAATGACAGTCCCTATCAGGGTGGAGTATTTTTCTTGACAATTCATTTCCCAACAGATTACCCCTTCAAACCACCTAAGGTAATTGGAATATGTTGGTTGTTTTTAATGTGCTTTCTATGATACTAATAAACCAGTTTACCAAAAAAATATTTTTTGTCCTATAGGTTGCATTTACAACAAGAATTTATCATCCAAATATTAACAGTAACGGCAGCATTTGTCTTGATATTCTACGGTCACAGTGGTCTCCAGCACTAACTATTTCAAAAGGTAATGGAATGGGTGTCAATATCAAAGATAAAGCAGCTATGTTTTAAAAGTTTTCTTAAGGTTATTTTTGAAAAGATTACTTATAGTCTTTTTACGAGGAGGTAACAATCTCCCTTATTCTTGAATAGATCTTGAGACCACTGGAGAGAGTTGGATTTTCAAGCATATGTATTGTTTTGTGTTGTGATTATGTCCATTTTGCTACTCAGGTATAGGTTGGAAAATAAATTTTTGAGCATCTTAACAATCTTTGGCATATGGTTATGTGTACATGTGTTTGTTTGAAAATGTGTAGAGCAAGTTAGTTGCTAATTTTGTGATGAAAGATCCAGTTCTTCTAAATAAGACCTAATTACACGAGTAATTTCCTTCAAAAATTACAGGGCCAATCATAGAGGAAGAAATAAATTGGTTCTAGCACATGCATTTAGAATATTGATCCTTATAAATATTGTGGAAAATGGAAGAATACTATGTTTGAAAAAAGCAGTGGAGGGGGGAAATGGAAACAACTGTACTTGAGCAACAATTTTTTTAAAAATTTAAAAAATAAAAAGCCCCCCCCCCCAAAAAAAAAGAAGAAAAAAAGATAAAATTAGAGTACATTGTAACTTGAGTTATACATAAGTATGTTAAATAACTAAAAAGAAATAGTTTGGCTATTTGGGTGGTGAAATTTGGTGAGTGGAAATATTTTTCTTATATTTTATCATTCCTTTAATGTATACATGTAGACAGGAGGTAGTATAGTTTCATGCTAAAGAGCATAGATTCTGGTTCTAACTACCTATATTCAGATTTCAGCTTTACCTCTTTACTAAATGAGATTTAAGACATTAGCTTCTGTTCCTCTTTTTTTTCATCTGTAGAATAGGGATGATAATAATTATTTCATTGTTATTATGAATGTAAAAAAGCAAAAATGCACAGTTAACTGGTCTCTTGTAGGCACTCAAATAACTGGGATAAAGATATTGAAAAAGTGTTGTATGTTTGTCCTGTTGTAACTATTATAAGATTTGTATATTCTGACATTAATTTTTTAAAGGAAATAAGAACTCTGGGGCATTAAATTAAAATTTCTGGGATCCAGCCCTGGCTGCCGTAGCTCAGTGGATTGAGCATGGGCTATAAACCAAAGTGTCACAGGTTCTATTCCCAGTCAGGGTACATGCCTGGGTTGTAGGCCATGACCCCCAGCAACCGCACATTGATGTGTCCCTCCCTCCCTCCCTCCCTCCCTCCCCCCTCCCCCTCCCTCCCCTCCCCCTCCCTTTCCTCTCAAAAAAAATAAATAAATAAAATCTTTTAAAAATATATTTAAAAAAATAAGATTAAAAAAAATTTCTGGGATCCTAGGCAAAAATAAAAACAAAAAACCAGAGGACTACTTTTTTAAAAATTGTGACTGAAATAGTTTCGGATAAGTGGCCCCTTTTGTTTTTGTAGGCCCCATGCAATTCATGGGCTACTTGTGAAAGTGTTCATATACTTCTTGTGATTTCCTGGCCTGCTTGTTCTTCCTTCACAAAATAGCAGTTAGCAGTAGAAATAAATCTAGTAAAGTAATGGGACCAAGAGAGGTGGAATATTTTGGGGGGTGGAGGGGCAGGGGGATTGGTAGGTCTAGATTGCTGAAATTTTTACCACAGATTTTTTTCCCCTCTGCTTCTGTGCCTAGCGTTGCTTTTTCAGTTATTCTAAATCATAAGTGCTGTTAGTTTGACTTACATTCTATTTGTGTAGCTGTCTATTAAAATAATTGCAGTGCCATTTTATTGGATTTGTTTATATCAGAGTATCTAGGTTTAATGTTTTAATGACTCTTCTTTGGTAAATTGAATATATGGGCAAGCAGTTCTTTGAAAGGCCTAAATTCTGTGTGTAATATTAATTATTCCTTTAACATATTCTATTTTCAAGGGCAATAATTTTGACTCTAAAATTCCCTTCACTTTGTGTATATATGTTATATAGCTAAATATACAAAAAATTTAAGCAGATAAATGTGCCGTAAAGCCCCTTGGTTATGTTTTTAGAATTGAAAATGACTGTGGGTTATATGACACTAATGAAAATGAAGAGTCTATGCAGGTTGTAAAAATAGGAGTTATTCTCTACACAGCAAAAGAAGGTGTAGTACTTTATAAGCCAAAATCAATTTTCTATGAATTAAAGGAACTAAATAGTATACTACAAATCCTTTCACTAGGTCCAGATAACCACTACTCCAATTTACTTTCCTGGAAAGAAAGTAAGACAAGTTATTTCTTATAACTTTATCTTTTAAAAGTAGCTTTATTGAAATAGTCAGAATTATGAATAAAGGAAATTTGTAACTGATACTTATTAGGTAGTATGTCTGGTTTTAGGTGAAGAATCAGTAGTACTCTTGCCAGTTTGATAGACTGGACAAGTTTCTTCTTTCTGTAGTCAGTAATTTCATGAACATTCAAAAATCTATAACTCCCTGTTGTCATTTCCAGGATATACATGAAATCATTCCTAATTGCTGTTAGAATGTTCTGTGCTTGAAGAGGGCATCAGGTGATACACCTGACAAATGGGAAGAGAAGATGTTTTGGGAATGCCATCTGCCAGAATTGTGGGCAACAGGAATGAAGAGTCAGAAAACATCTTTCCTGATGTTTTTTATTTTCCATATACTCTTAAGGCAAGGAAATAGCTTTTTTGTTAACAAACCAAATGATAAAGGGCATGTAAACTTTTTCTTCACCTCTCAGAAGCCCTTGATCTCTATAGAACAGATTTGATAGGAAAATGAATAAATCCTTTTCCTGATGAATTTGATGGTTTGGGAGTAAAGTGGGATCAGAGTCATTTGTTGTCTCTTGTTAGAAAACATTAGAGCTGAGTTCTGTTAGCATCAGAATAGAAGGATTAGAGTTTATTTCAGTATGTCAGAGACCACTGGATTTAATGTAATTAGTGGCCTTGGCTTCCTTTTTACATTCAGTGAGGAATACATAAATTAACAACAGATTTTACAGAAGAAATTGTACTTTTGAGATTCGTCTGCTATATTCCAGGTTGTCACTGAGGAAATGGCTCACATAAGATTCTAAATCATCACTGAAAAGAAGTTGAGACCTTAGTAGAAGTATGTTGTACCTTTTGTAATAAGTGTGGCCAGCCCCATCTGGGGGCAAGTACTAGCCTTTATGGTCTTAGACTAAATTGTTTTCAACTGAAAATGAAACAGATCCATTGCATCTGAATGTAATACCTGCCCTTGAGAAAGCAGTAATTCTTGGATTTCATGGTTGTCATTTCTAAGAACATTCACAATAGTGTGGTTGTCTTTGGAATTTTGAAAGCCATTTACCCCTGAATGTGGGCTCCTAAAAATTGGATTTTATGGGCTATGAAAAGTGTTATTGGTCTGGGATTTGGAAGACCTGATTCTAATTCCACTCTAATTACTCACTAACTGGGGACATTGAGCAAATCACTTCATTCACCAGCCTGGGCCAGTTTCCTTAAGGAGTTAAGCATAGAGAAATCTTAGAATATTTGTTGATTACTGTTCCTGTAAAGTTAGGAAGAGTTTACAGAGATGCTAGGAACTGCAATATAAATAGATTCTTAGAATTTTTTTAATGTGTTGGCATCTCATGATTCTTTGAATCCTTTGCTTTTATTCTGTGCTAATTTGTAGGGGTTTTTGTTTTTGTTTTTCATTCTAGTACTCTTGTCCATCTGTTCTCTGTTGTGTGATCCTAATCCAGATGATCCCTTAGTGCCTGAGATTGCTCGGATCTACAAAACAGATAGAGAAAAGTAAGTATGGCCTCCAGACAGAAGAGTACCAGGGGTGGGGAGGAGAAGTTTGTGACTCAAGTTTTTCTGAACTAAGGGCTAGGTATGGGTCAGATACTTAAAATGAAGTCCTGGGGATGGGAAAGAGAGGTATTTGTATTGATTATCATTATATGTAGATGATATGGATATTATCTCAATTATTTCCTGTCTAGGAAAACTTTTCTACAGTATATTTTTCTGTCAAAGACATAAAGAGTTTTATGTCTTCTTGGCTTTTTACATATAAAGCATATTGCATCAAGAGCCTGTTTGTCTTAGATTATTGAAAATTCATGGGAAAAGGACATTGTTTTTCTGCCATTTGGTATAATCTAAAAAAGAAAGTGAGTAAATGCCACAAGACATAAAAACCCCAAATTTCCTTAAAAAATAAGAGATGAGCATTTACATATTTTAGAATTCTATGAAATATTAAAAATGGCCAGGCCCTGGCTAGTGTGGCTCAGTGAATTGAGTGCCAGCCTGCAAACCAAAGAGTCGCTGGTCCAATTCCCAGTCAGGGCGGCACGTGCCTGGGTTCTGGGCCAGGTCAAGTCCCCAGTAGGGGGCATGTGAGAGGCAACCACAAATAGATATTTCTCTCCCTCTCTTTCTCCCTCCCTTCCCTTCTCTCTAAAAATAAATAAATAAAATTTTAAAAATCAGAATAGCAAAAGAAATAGTAACTAAAAGTGTTCTAATCTTTGTTATTAATCTTGTATATTCAGTAAAATAGGAAGAAATAGGTGAGAAAGAGTGGATAATGTTCTAAAGTTAAAGTTAGGATTTTAACTTTTTTAAAAAGATTGAAGAATTATTTGAATTTTGTTGGAAGAGAGAGGCATATAGATGTAATATTTTTATTTTTAAGAAAGATTTTATTTATTTATTTATTTATTTATTTATTTATTTTAGGGGGAGGGAGAGAGAAGGAGAGGGAGAGAAATATTGACCGGTTGCCTCTGGCACACCCTCAACTGGGAACCTGGCGGGCAACCCAGGCGTGTGTCCTTTCGGTTCACAGGCTGGTTGGTGCTCAGTCCACTGAGCCACACCAGCCAGGGCAAGATACAGTATTTTTAAATGGGGCAGTGAGGGATTATTACTACAGCAGTTGTTTCTTAGTTTAGTTTTTTCGGTGTTTAGGTATGAATAATATCTTTAGTCATGTATTTTTGGCTGCATTCAGAATAAAATTAGATCTCGTGTTTTTTTTCTATTTGAGATTTTATTCAAATAAAATCTTTTGATTGGCATCCCATTTTGTCAAATACCTAGAACTGTGGGCGTGAGTGCCTACCAAAAGACATTTTTTAAGCCTTGTGGTAATAATGTTCAGAAGAACTTGCCTGTATCCCTTTTTAAATCAAAGAATTGTAGAACCCTTTGCCCTGCTTATTTTACTACTCGAATGTTCTTCAGAAGCAATAGACTCTTTCATTTTAGAAACCAAATTGTTAAAATACATTTTGCCAGGACTAATTTTATTAAGACAGGAAAATATTATATCAGTTCAATCACTGTTAATATATGATTTCAAGAATCATATAATGTAGAAGTATAGAGTTTAAGGAACTCCAAATATGAACATAGGTGGAAGATCTCCCTTAGAAGTAAGGTCAGTCAAGTATAGAACAAGGATATAACAGCAAATGCTAAAATTTAATCAGAATCCTCTATTAGTAGAATTTATAGGGCTTGTTTTTCATTTTACAGCCTTTTCCCACTGTCATTGAATAAATGCTTATTAGAAATTTGGGGTAAAAAGACAGCTTTGTCTGAACATATGATACATCTTTGCCCTCAAGTTACTGTATGGGTTTTTAATAAAGGAACACCAGAGAGGGGGTAAAAAGTTACTAGATGGGATAATAAGTGAAATTTGTTGCCTTCTGACTCCTCACCTGTGTTAAGCTAAGCTTTTCTTTGTGTGTACAGGTACAACAGAATAGCTCGGGAATGGACTCAGAAGTATGCGATGTAATTAAAGAAATTATTGGATAACCTCTACAAATAAAGATAGGGGAACTCTGAAAGAGAAAGTCCTTTTGATTTCCATTTGACTGCTTTCTATGAGCCCACGCCTCATCTTCCCCTGTGCACATGTTTACCTGATACAGCAGTTCCGCGTGTTGTACATACTTGGAACAACAAACTAGAAATACTGTACTTCTGTACCAACATTGCCTCCTAGCAGAGAAGTGTGTGTGTGACAAGCCAGTTCTTCAGGCGTAACCTAGGTGTGAGACTAAAAGCTTTCCTATTGACTTAAATTTGGATGACGTCAAGGTGAGGGGTGGTGGGTATGGTGTGTGCTTGGATGGGGAAGAAAAGCTCTACTGACTTATAAGAGATGGTTTTTAAGTGGAATCCTTTTAAACTCAAAACAGATACGAAAAACAAGGCGAAGAACACGAAGCTGTTTCTATACTCCTTTTATGCTGAAGGACCTACGTCTTAGGTGAAAGTTATGACCAGCCAGATTAAAACCTACCATTTTAAGGTCTAAGTTTAACTGGATTGGAGCTATTAGTACATAAAGTGTGATGGGCTTTGTTCCCTCCTCTTACATCTCCCCACCCTTTAACCCTCATCCTTTCAACCCCTCTTTTTCTCTTCCATATTCTTTGGTTTGTATGTGGTTTCTCAGTTAATACATAGCTAATAGCTCTTATTTTTCTTATGTTTTTAACTGCTTAGGTCTCTCTGGAAAAGGGTGAAAATTCATTTGATGGAAATACTTGTGTATATTTAAAGACCCCGTTGCTCCTCTGGAGCTTGTACGTTCAAGAATGATTAATCTGTGTAATAAACTGATTACTACAGTCATTACATATAATTTTGTGTGAATAGGCTTTTTGATTTTATGAATTTTATCTAGGTGAGATTAGTGGTGGATTTTCCCCCACCCCTGAAATATTTTCATTTATACTGGTTGCATTTCAAAATCATGAAACAATTCCAGTTTACATAGTAAAAAGGATATCTTAAAAGTAATTTTACTGAACAAGATGAGGGCATAAGCTTAAAAGCTTTGCCATGAAACTTATATGTTGCAGTATTCCAGGAACATGACTGTTAATAAGAAATTTGCTTCATTAATGAAACTAAGCTGCATTTCACCAAAATCTTGTGGCATTCCCGTGGTACATAGAACATAAAACAAAGGCATTGCTTTTGATAAGTTAAGCTTCTGTGATTGTAAAAGAGCAACATTGACCAAACCTGGGAAACATGAGCACAATCTTGTATCGGATAGTCTACATAATTACTTTGCACTAACATTGTAGGATGTTCATTCAGTTTCAAATTGTACTGTATGTAGCTTTTTGAAGTCGTCCTTTGACTCTAGTAAAATGTAGTTTAAAACTTTGTAAACAAACTGTGTTTGCCAGAAACATCATTCATGTGAACTAGGCAAGTTACCTTTTTTCCCCCTCTCCTCCTAATCTAATTGTAAACCAGGCCAGCCTGAAGGCCATGGCTGGTGCTCACTAGCCATCAGGTTCTTTCAAATGCATCTTTACACTCTTGCACAAAAATTAAGGAATAAATGTCCACTGCTTTTGGTTTTAAACTTGTTCAACTTGTCTTATCTCTCAGTGTCCACTACTCCTCCATCTCGGACTAAAGTGTAACATAACCTGAAAATTCTTACAAGTGTTGCATTTTTAGCTGCTGGCTACTTGTTAGTATTTCTAGCGTTCTTGACCTTGCAAAGGTTTGAGCTCTAGCCTAAAATTACCCTGTATTCTCAGTATCATGGGGAGGTAGGAATTCATCCATTTTTGACATGCTGTTAACTATATTGTTGACTATGGGTCAGTTGCACAGACCCTAAAGACTGGTTCTTTGTCATCTTAAAGCCTAGCCAGTTAATTACCATTTATTAGGTCATAATTTAAATATTTTTGCAAAAATGCTCTTAAGTATTTTTTTTAAGGGCTAAGTAAAAGCCATTATCCTGGTGTGCAAGTGCCTAATGAAAGGGCTAACATGATGACAAACATTAGACTCTTGAATGCAGTTTTGCTCATTTGAGTGTGGAGCATACTTGGTCCAGTCTGTGCACATACGCCATAGTCAGAATGGAGGCTCAGTCAGGGAGGCCACCTTTCCCACTTAAACAAAAAAGTGTCACTCGGGATAGTGCTCAGCTGGGATCACATTGCTTTTTACAGGAGTGTCTTGACTTTATCACATGTGAAAGCTCGATTGCAGTAACCCTGATTATCTTGGTGAGGCAGTGGTTACAAGGGAATGCCTATTGTATGGGTTTGTTTTGCATTTTAATTATGTGGAGTGCTTGGTCATAGTTGAAGTAGTTTCTTTTGGTAAAACTACATGATTTCAGGTACTTGCATGCTCTGTTACTGGCCAGTGGTCAAAGATAGCATTGTCCTGCTGGTTTCTGCACTTTGTAGTACAAAGACTTGGAAGGAGGGCTGGTGGGATGTGGGGGGTGGCAGGAAAGTCTGCAGAGAAAAGGATATGGTGGTGCTCAGAGAGAGGGATCCCATGTTCTCTGCCCTGAGCAGTAGCGGCAATCTTTCTACTTCTGATCCTATATTCCACTTTTTCAGTCATTCTTTGTTTCAACAGGTTATTTTGATCCCTAGGTAGATTGTCAGGAGAAATGAATTATTTCTAAATTAGTTGGAATGCCTATAAACTGTCCCTTGTTTGTAATTAAGGTGAAACTGGGTTTTGTCTCAGTCTGCTGTACAGTAACCCTTACCACTCAATGGCTAGGTTTTAATAGAAGGACTTTCTTTAGTTCCTGGGTCTTCTGGATTATGAACATATTTTTTTTCTTCCTTCCTACTCTGGAATAAGCATCTTTATTACCCCTGCAGAAAATTGTCACCAGTGTCAAGGACCCATTATCTCCTTTTGATTCCATTTGTGAATAGTCTATTTCAAGTGATGGGTTATTTTGTTGGGTGTGATGTTATATGAGAAGGCAGATTTTTAATATGAAAATAACTGAAGGTAGTAAGCTATCAAATATACATTTATACTCATCTGTGGGGAGAAAATAGACTTCCTTGGGGACACTACTGGAGCCTGTTCCGTATTTAATTTTTCCTTAGCTTTGTATACACTTAAATGAAAAGTGGCTCTGAGTTCTCTACCTTACAGAAGCCTTCCTTTAAATCCTTTTCCTAACCATGCATAGCTCCAGCTGGTGTTAAGTGTTTAGTAATCACGCCCCTCTGAATATTTCTAGGCCAATTCCTGAGATGGGCTTAAAATATGAAAACTGGCCATGGGATCACTTTATCTTAGTCAATATAAGCAGGAAAGTTCAAAGGTTTGGACTGACTACTAAAATCTTCAAGGCCTCAGTGGCTGAATATATAACAATCACCAGTCAGCTTTGCCCTTTCTCAATGATCGCTCCTGGGCTGGTTGAGGCAGAAGTAGACGTTTTTGTTAAAAGGGATCACTTTTCATCTTTGAATTGTTTGTGGAGCTGCACCCAATCAGAGGCAAAGTGTAATCTGCCTCTTAGCAGACGTTAGAGGTATATAAATATCTTAGCATCAAGACAGCAGCTTAACAGTTTTCAACTCAGGTTTTAAACTGTTTTTAACCTCCTGTAGAAATTGTTATTGGTAGAATAGCCTTTTCGGGGCTAGGGCTCATGATTGCCCTACACAATGTACTCTGAAAGCAAATGGTTGATTATGTTTGGAAAGGCCAAGAAGAAGCCACTAAGTGCCCAGCCAGCCACCAGTGGCTGCTGTCCAGGGAAGGTCAGTGCCAGCCTTGGTCAATGTTCTGTGCGCTCCTTTCAGACTTCTGAGGGTAAGAGGTGTAACTAGCTACCATTTTCCCAGGCACCAGTCTCTCACTGACCTGAGCCACTTTTTCTCCTATTTGAATTTCTTCCAAAGTCCTGAAAAATCTTGATTCATAAAGGTTACACCCCTGCCCTAAATTGTAGAGCCCCTAAAGATGGAGAATGATTAGGGAGAGTTTAGTTTTGTCAACCTCAAGACCAACCACTTCACAAATTACCAGCTTTCTCAGCTTTGAAGTTTTCCATATGAAAGTAAGGCAACTTTGGAAGCTCCAAAGCTTAGGGCCCCTTGGAGGTTTCTAGAAACTGTTCACAAATACACCCTGACCTAGCACCATCTGACAGCAGGGGCGGCTGGACTTCCCCTAGCTAATTAAGGGGCTATACTGGTTAGGTCTTTCTCGGCGATTTTCCCTACCTCCAATCAACATCGCTGCTATCTTTGAAAGGTACGAGTGCTTGCCTTCGGTGGTATTGCTCAGTGGTTTGGGCCGCATCCTGCAAACCTAAAGGTTGCAGGTTCGATTCCTGGTCAGGACACATGACTGGGTTGCAGGTTTGGTGTCCAGTCAGGGTATGTCCTGAAGGCAGTCAATCGAAGTTTCTGACTTCGATGTTTGCCTCCCTCTTTCTCCCTTCCCCTCTCTAAAACCAATAAAAGAAAAAAAATTTAAGGTGTGGGAGCTTGCGGGGTGTTGTCACACTAAGAGTTGAGGAGAGCTTACCCTGTTTCAGAGGGCATGCAGGACTTCAGTCTGCTGCAGTGACAGAAAGAACCAAGGAGACCAAAGCTTTCTCATGCTTTTTGGAAGGATGGCTCCAGGTCATCTCAGTCTGGCCTCCTTTGAGAACAAAGAGGGCATAAAAAAGGGGTATGGGGACGTTATGGGGTCAGGTACTGTTTTCTTGAGGGTGAGATCAAATCAACTTCCAAGCTGGATAGAAAGGGCACTTCCTTTTGAAGTTTTAGGCATAAATTTTTTTATGTTTATTTATTTTAAAATTTTATTTTTAGAGGAAAAGAGGGAGAGAGGAAGAGAAACATCAATGTGTGGTTGCATCTTGCCTCCTACTGAGGTGGGGAAGCCTGCCTGGCCCACAACCCAGGCATGTCCCCTGACTGGGAATCAAGCAACCCTTTGGTTTGTAGGTTTGCAGGCAGGCACTCAGTCAACTGAGCTCAGGTATAAATTTTGGTGAGGGGTGCTGAGTTTCTTAGTGGTTACTCCTCTGACACTGTCCATGGGTTGATCCTTGTTTTCCCTACCCTGATTTTTCTTTTTTTTTAAGCATATTTATTTATTTTTAGAGAGAGAAGGGGAGAGAGGGAGAGAACATCCATGTGTAAACATGAATGTGTGGTTGCCTCTCGCACGCCACCTGCTGGGAGTCTGGCCCTCAACCCATGTGCCCTGACTGGGAATCAAACTGGCATCCCTTTGGTTCACAGGCAGGCACTCAATCCACTGAACCACACCAGCCAGAGCAAATGGCCAGGGCAAATGTGTTGAATTTTCTGTGTCCACTGATGGAGAATATCTGAAGTGCATTTGCTTGGAGTGGATGCTAGTGCCTGAGTGGCCAGCAGAGGGCAGTGGTGACCTACAACTATAACACTATGAAGTGGGTGGTCAGTAAATCCACTTGGTAGAACCTGAGAGGGGCTTTTGTTGGGGTGTGGAGGCCTGTTTGGGCTTGGCTTTGTTTACAGTTTATTCAGAACTGGATGGGCCAAGTGCCTAGTTCAGTGAGGCTCCATCATAACCTTACTCACAGGAGGGAAACAGATTAGTATTCCAGCCTAAGGCCTGCCAGAAATGTCAAGTCACCAATCCCCCATCCCCTCCATTGGTATAGCCGTATTCCTGTGTGTGGACAGGTCAGTAGGGTCCAGGCCAGGCTTTTGCCCACTTTGCTGCAGGTTGCATGGGGGCAAAGATTTCTCCATTGTTTTATATGAACAAGGGGATCTCATATTTCTGGCAGTTCTCTGCCTGGTACCCACTGTTGCATTTCCCCACAGAGGCAGGCAG